ACTTTTTTCAACTAAAATACGAATGTTTATGTGGGATATTTATCAATTCTACTTTATGTCTGTGTGTCTTGAAAGCCTGTCAGCCTATGTAATTCATGGGCTGTTGACGTGAAATCTAATAAATATTCATAGCTGGGATTCCAAAGGAGCTGAGCTGATTATTCAATAAAGTGTGTGATTAAAATTAATTGTAAAAGTTTTTTTTTGAGGCTAAAGTAGTTGAAAACACAGCTGACTTAGGTCATATTTCCAATTTGTCTTTTTTGGATTAACATCTGAAAAATGTATCACTGAGTAATATGGAAGGCAATGCATGATGACAAAACAGGAATATTGTTATCATTAGTTTATTATTTATAAAGCACCAGCATATTCCATAGAGCTGTACAACAGGAATATCTTCTTACTACCTTTTAGCGGTGTGTGGGGGTGAGGCAAGGGTCGGGGCTCTTCAGAGAACTTTTAGGTGACTTACTAATTACAATTTATGCAATTAAAATGTAATTTTAGAACAAGAACAATGTATCTTTTTCACACAGACTAATTTCTAAAGTTTAGAGACACATTTCTACACATAACTCTGTTATACCTTCAGACACAACAACAATATGGAGCTTCTAGAAGGGAGGGACATTAGGATAGAAAAGAGGGACAGAGGGATTTGGGCCCACAATAGGGACTGTCTTTCCTAAATCAGGACAGTTGGGATGAATGACATTGTGTGGTTCTCAAAAGCTTTTGGACATGCTGGCTTTACGCTATCCCGCTTTACGCTATCCCTAACTATTAAAGGGTTACTTTAACCCTTTGGAGCGGGGGTGGGCCGAACGAGACATTTTGTGTGTAAAATACCCTATTGGGCCCCACTGAGGAGGATTTCCCTGCTCCGATTGCAATAAATCTAAAAAAAAAGAAAGTTTTCTTACTTACCTGGAATCCAGTGCCAGACGAAATTCTTGGCGCTGCCTTACATGCTTTGTCCTTATGTTACTGCGGCCATGCACAGTCTAACCACAGGCTCCTCATAAGCTTGTGATTGTATAAAATGCTGGTTTAGAGCGCATGCATGTGCTAAGGGGCGATGATTGGAGGGAAGTAGAGGGAGTGTGGAGGTTAAGGGATGGAGGTTTAAAAAGAAATTAAAAATCCCAGAAAGGAAGTGCTCACAGGGAGGGAGGGTGGAGAGCTCTCCTGCCTGCAAGGTGAATATTTGAACCTCTGTCGGCAGTGTGCAGTGAGAGAAAAGAGTTCTAGCCTGCCAATGTGTGCTTGGGATGCAACTGGCCGCTTGGAACAATTAACATTATCTCTGCATTTCAATATCTCTTTCATAATGAAACACTGCACATCCAGACTCCTACCACCATGACTACTTCAAATCACAAAGTGTTCATGGTGGTAGGAGTAACCCTTTAACCCTTTTTGCAACTGTTAAAATATCGAGGAAGTTTTTGTGCCTGTCCTAAGTTAACCAAAATAAGAAAGGTCCTACACATTATTGTGCTTTCTTTGAATGTAACGTGTTTCCTTTGTTGGTTTTGAGGTCAGACAGCCGTGACCTCAGATTCTGGCTGCTGAGGATTTCCCTTCTAATGTAGAATCAGACTGCGTGCAGAGGAAGGAAACGCACAGAGATCATATAGTGTGTGATTAAAACAAGGTTAGCCACCACAAGCTAAGCAGAGGGAAGCTTTGCGGGACAAAGAAGATGCCTTGTAAGCATATTAGAACTTTAAAAACATTCATCACAGTGTGGTTTTTAAGCCAAATATGTTAATGTTTCCTCATCGTTCTGAAGTAAGAATATCCAGTTAACCCCTTAAGGACCAAACTTCTGGAATAAAAGGGAATCATGACATGTCACACATGTCATGTGTCCTTAAGGGGTTAAACAGGGCTATGTGTGAACTGTGAGGAATTAAAAGTAATTGGCAACTTTTAGGCTAAAATATGTGATTTGGAAAAAATTCTCCTATAATTCAGCTATAATTTCAACTTGGCTAGTGTGGCTAATTCACTGGCAATTATTTCTAGCTACTCTATTTGGGGGGGAGAGGGTGCGAGGGAAGGGAGAGAGGGTGAGGGGGGAAAGGATTCTGAAATATCTTATCTGCACCAAGTGAATTGTTGGAACATGTAGTGAGGCTCAGCCTGGGCAAGCTGACTCTCTGCTTTCAGTGAACTGACGAGTTGGATCCTATACAAAGTTGTTTTTTTAGCATTATAGCTCCCTATAGTGCCCACCTCCCTCACACCCCCTGTGGTGCAGAATTGGTTAAAAATCCCTTCTGTCACTTACCTGATTCCAGCGTCGACGTCCCCAGGTGCTGTTTCAGGCTCCACTCCTGGCTGACGTCGGCAGGGGGAAGGGAACCTAGCGTGCATGTGTGGTGAGCTCCGAGCTCGCATTAGGACTACCCCATAGGAAAGCATTGTATAATGCTTTCCTATGGGGTTTTGGGTGATGCTAGATGTCCTTGCAGAGCGTGAGGATGTCCAGCGTCAGTTATGCGACCAAAAATTGAGTTTGAGAGGTTGAGTTAACCCATAAAGGTAATTACTGCAGTTTATCAAAAATAATGACCATTGCAGGGTTAAGGGACCTGGGACAGTGCACCCAGACCACTTCAATGAGCTACTTTGACACAATGTAATTGTCTGATTTGCTAATAGATGTTACTTTATTTTAGTGGATAACACTCTGTGCATTTCCTTGCACTGTATCTTTTGAGTTATTGAGATGCGCTGGCAATATAAAGAATTTTAAAATTTTTAATTGGATCAATTTAAATTATTAAACCCCTCTAGGGGTTCATACAGAGGAGAAGAACAGTGGCTATTCGTTTTAGCCAGTCGACTATACACTCATTTTTGGAAAACCCCTTAAACTATTTATTCATTTTGCCTTTATGAGTGTTTTGTTATTATTGAATATTTATTTTTATTTTAATTAAGTTTCCATACGTTCATTTTTATTTCCTTGTCTTAGCGCAAGATTTTGTAGATTTCTCCCAGGAACGTTTTTTGTAGGTGGGATTGCTCATTTTCCAGGCAGGACAGCCACTATTAGTCTGCCCCGCTCCACATTCTGAATCACACCTTCCCAGTGTTACGAGATAAACATTTCAGTTCCTGTGCCATCTTGATCATGAAGAATAAGTTTTCTAAGCAGTCACATCATATGTTAACTCTCTCCATTATTGTGATTTCTGAACCTTGAATATCTCCCAACCAGGCCCGGACTGGCCATCGGGCATACCGGGCAAATGCCCGGTGGGCCGCGATGGCCGTGGGGCCGAGGCCGGCAGGGAGATCACAGGATCTCCCCGGCCGGCCCCTGCAGGGCCAGCGCTACCCGAGTGCCGGCCCTGCATAGTGCCTCCATGGGCCGGTGGGGAGATCACAGATCTCCCTCACCGTCCCAGAGGCAGGGAAATGCGGCCGCCGGCTGGGTGAGGGAGGGAGGGAGGAGAGAGGACCCGGCGGAGCTCTAACAAGCAGCTCCGCCCGGTCCTCTCGCGGGATTCTGAGCGTTGCCGCGGTTACCGTTGCCGCGGCAACGCTCAATCTCGCGAGAGTGAACTCTAACCTGCAGGTTAGAGTTCACTCTCACCACTGGACCACCAGGGAAGGCAGCATGGTCCCCTCAAGGCTCCCCCTCCCAGGCAGAACGGCTCCCTCCCCCTCCCAGGCTAAAGGTAAGAAGGGAGGGGGGGGGGGACATAACTTTTTTTTTAAATTATTAATTATAATAATATTATAATTATTAATAAAATAAAAAATATATATTTCAAATAATTTCCCTAACAGCCCCCCCAGACACACACAGCCCCCCAGAGACACACACAGCGCACCCCCAGACACACAAAGCACCCCACAGACACAAACAGCACCCCCAGACACACACAGCACCCCCAGACGCACACAGCAACCCCAGACGCACACAGCAACCCCAGACGCACCCCCAGACGCACACAACACCCTCAGACAGACAGCACCCTCACTCCCACACATATACAGCACATATATTATATAAAAAAAACCCTCAGTGAGTTAACAGACAAATAAAATTAGAAACCCAGAATGTGACGGCAGATAAAAACACCCTCACACACAGCACCCCTCTTACACAAACACGCTGCGCACCTCACACATACAATACGTCCAAATATATTTTTATATATATATATATATATATACATATATACACACAAAAATCAAAACTGAGGATGCACTCACAGGACTTGGTTAAAGTGAAAAAAAGGGACTTTTAATTATTCCATGTGAAATGTACAGAAAAATCAATTTTCCATTCACATGGAATAATTAAAAGTCCCTTTTTTTACTTAAACCAAGTCTTGTGAGTGCATCCTCAGTTTTGATTTTTGTATATTTCTGACGTTTGGGATATAGCACCCAGGCTAATAGTTCTTTCTTATTACTTAAAGGAGAGTGCCAAGCATCCTGTTTTTTTGAGATTATATATATATATATATATATATATATATATACACATACACACACACACACATACACACACACACTACAGCACCCCTCACACTGCACCACTACACACATTACGCTCCAGATACACGCTAGATCCCTTACCCTATATGCACTCTTAATCCTCTACACACACACACACAATCTTCTATACACACTCTGGGTCCTTTACACACCAGATCTCTTACACACACACTCTGCACCACCTACACACACACTACATTCCTTGTAAGCAAACACATACAACATTATCTAAATACACCCTCTCTACACACAGTAGTGTGTGTGTATAAGTGACACACACTACATCACCTATACACACACACTACTGCCGTATGCACACACTCGCTACATCCCCTATAACACTATGCCCCTATACACGCACTCTCTACAGCCCCTAGCCACACATATTACACCACAAAATTGACCTATTTACACAATACCACACCACACTCTACACACAGGCAATCCCACAAGCATGCGCCAAACACATGCACCATACACTTTCCTGGCCCTTTTGTCCTCTGGTATCCCACTTGTGGAGACACCAGAGACAATTTAAAAGCAAACACAGCGCAAGCATGTTATTACATTTGCTTGCGCTGCGCAGAACAAATACAGGGCCTTTTTCTAATGCTAGAGCTCTTCAGCGGGGCTCTGCGCATTGAACCAACATGCTCACTTTCTCTGGCCCTGCCCCCTTTTTGGGGGGCCGCTCTAATTGAAAAATGCCCGGGCCTAATTTTTTCCCCAGTCCGGCCCTGCTCCCAACCACGGAGGTATGCCTGCTGGACAGCAGGTTGAGTGGATTACAAGAGTGTGAAGATGAGAACAGCGTAGGCCTATCTAATAGGGGCATGCCAGTCTGACATGGGTGAAGGCTGACCAACAATCTTTCTGACTGTTTTGATCCGGAATGACCATGTGTAAAGCACATTGATGACATGGACAGTGAGAGGTGGATGCGTGCTTAAACGGCTTCCTGATCAGAGCTCTTTATTTTTTTATCAAGACAACACTGAGATGAACATTCTATCCCAGGATTAATGACAACAATTGGAATTCTCATTGGTTACAATCCATTATTGTTTGCAGGACCGAAAGAAAAAGATTTTACCTTCTTAATCACTTAGCAAGACCTGCCCATCCTTTTTTAGAAGGAGGGGAGGAAGGGGTGGCATGGACATTTTTTCTCTCATCCCCCTGTGGGTGTTTTAAATTGCTTGGTAAATGCAGCTCTCTCTAACCTGATCTATTCTTCTCAGATTGTTTGAAATTCATGTTACCTCTATTGTAATGTGTGCTCAGTAGCCCAATTCCTGCTGCTTTTGTATGTGTCTTTTGCTAGTTTCCGTCCATTTAGAAGAACGCGCGTGTGGCAATTTCGCAGCCAGCTGTACACAGCAATTCAGAAACGTTCATAAAACCAAAATGAAAAGAGCTGTTTGACCTGCAACAATGCACCTAAAATATTTATTTGTGAGAGGAAAAAAATCTGGGAAAAGATTACTCAAAAAGAAAACTGCTTTGCAAACAGTTTGGAGATTTCGACAATCTTCGGAAAAACAACATTTTGTGCACGGAATACTAAATTATTTGCTTGTGGTTAAGTATTGATGGTGTCGAAATACACAGTATGGCTCTTTGAAACTGAAGCTTATCTCTCAGCCTTGAGTCTTAAAGGGATACTCCAGACCCCTAAATCAATTTGGTTTGCTGAAAAGCTTTATGTGTGAAGAGTGTTTTTACAAAAAGTGCATATTTCAATAGAAATTGGCAATTTAATAAATGAACCTGGTTACACCCCTCTGGTTGTCAATCAAACAGCCGGTAATGCTACTCCCTGGTTTGGTTAGCTCAGTGGAGCTAAACTGAAGAGGCAACAATTGCCTAGAACACCTGCCTTGCAATGACATCTCATTGAGCTGTATTGGGAAGTCTGTGATTGGACAGCCAAAGAAAGTCTGTGCGGGGTTAGAATGGGAGGGCTTGCAAAGGCAGCAGACAATAGATGCATTGGCCAAATGCCCCGTTTTAGTTTGTGTTGAAATCACACAGTATTTATTGTAGACCTGTCTCTAGTGCCATCACAAAACAAACCTGGAATGACAGAACAGGAAGCCCGAAATCAGAACTGTCATGCCAAATCCAGCTATCCTGAGTGTATATTTTCCTTACTCCATTCCATTCCATATAATATCAGTGATATCATATTCCATAATAAGCCACAGCCATCCTTTGTGTGCTTCAAAGGGGGTAATGAAATCTGAAGCAAGTGCAGTGTATTTAAGTACATACCAGGCCAATATAACAGGATTATAAAATTGGATGTAGACTTTTCTTAATTGACTATTATACATATGATCTACCGATTTTCTGCAATTCACAATTTAATGAATAAGTCCAAAAATGTTGGGGTACCACTTTGCACTAAAAGAAATACTATCCCTTTAAACAATTCATGTTTCTAAAACACGTAGCTGACACACTCTTCCCAATGCCAAACATGATTTAATTCTCCAAAACCTAACTTGAATTCAAACCCTAATTTCTCATTCATGGGCTGAGACTAATCTCTAACATCCAAGCCCAATTTGTATACTCTAAAACTAATAGAAAATATATGGTTAGTGGTAGAAATGTCAGAAAAATCCTTTTATCACATTTTAAGCACGCAAAGTCTCTCCATGCATTCAGCAATTGAAGGTACTTGACTGATGACGACACACACGCCGAGCCCCATTTCTGCAGCGCTATTTCTCAATACATCTTTACATCGCAAGAATCACATCACGTTTTTACTGTTGCAGCCAAGCTTGCTCCATCTGCAAAGGGAAAAGTGAATAAATATTGATATTTATGGGCAATAAATAAATATGCATTATGCCAAACAGGATGCCACGGTGATGGTTTGAAATGCATTGTGGGAAGCTCCAACGCAGTGCGTGCCAAATTACTTTGCAAGCTAATTAAACGAGACAGGAGTCAGCAAGTGACAGCAGACTGCTTCCTCGTGTAATAAAATATCGGCATAGCGTAGGGTTTGCGTGTAACATGTATGAACATCTTCACAGTGATCAGCTTGTGTTCTCTTTCTGCAGATTTACGATTTAATCATCTGCAACTCCTACAGCTCTGCTTTTTTGTAGTTACTGTGACTTGCTGTTCCCGAGAGTCTGTTTCTCACTTTAAAACTCATCATGCTGATTACAGCGCTGTGTGCCCAAGTCCCAGCTACTAGCAGACAAAGCGAGGATTATTTGATAGAGTCTGACTCATTTTAGGAATTAAAACACTTCGTAGACAGAGAAGCCATTGGAATTTCACTAACAGCACCGTTTAGAACTGATCTAAAAAAGTACAGCCTTTTTTTGTATTGCGTGCTTCTTTGATGGGTTACTCCAGGCACATTGAACATTTCAGTACTTTGAAGTGGTCATGGTGCTCAGAGTCTGTACGTGCAGTATTATGCTCTGAAATGCTGCAAATATGGAGATAACCTCTCTGCTGCTGGACCTGTAAATCCACCTCTGGTCACGTCATGGGGACATCATAAACCAGGCCAGAATAGGAGTTTGATGCACTCAGTCATTAGCTAAGATCATCAAGCTGACTCTCTCAGCCAATGAATGAGCTGCACGATTGTCATCTGGCTTCTGCAGCTCAGCAGGACCTACTGTAATGAAAAGTTCAGCGGAGTGTAGTTATGATGGTTGAAGGAACCCTGTAAAACCTCACAGATATAATTCTAACTTTACAAGCTATTTAGGTTAGGTGAGTAGTTTTGTTAAAGGACAACTATAGGCACCCAGACCACTTCAGCTCAATGAAGTGGTCTGGGTGCCAGGTCCCTCTAGGGTTAAACTGTTATGTTTACATATGGGTTAATCCAGCATCTAGTGGCTGTCTCATTGACAGCTGCTAGAGGCTCTTCTCACTGTGATTTTCAAGACTGCAGAGTGTAATAAGTTGCGTACCCCTCGCAGAGGGTAAAATAAATGTTGTCTCTTCCGATCAAATGTGAAAAGAAATGCCTATGAGTGCACTGGCACTGTACTACTGCATAAACACATGCATCAGGGGTTAATTAAATTAACGTCCCTTGCCCTCGCACAACATATTAGTTATTGGCTTCGTGTGACAGTTCTGCTTTAAAAGTGCCTTGTTCATGTTTGTTTATAAATTAATTTGCTACAGAAGCCACTTCTTATGCCATTTTGCCCAGAATGTGTTCCATGTTCTACAACTTGTAGAGACGTTCAATCTATCTGCCTTACTCAATACAGCCATGCTCTTGCTTGCATTGTCTGTCAGAGAACCCCGTTCTTTTATCATTCTGCTCAGTCTTATGCATTGCAACTACATGCCACACACAGTGCATAGCACATTATGCTATATTGCCAGAGTGAGCAAAATCCACACATTTTTCATGCAAAAGTCATGGACAGACTCTCCCATGGATTTTTCATGGACTTTGCACAAAATAATACACTTTCTCAAGAAACTCTAAATGACATATAAGGTCCTTGAAGACATGACTGTCAACTTAAAATTGCACAAAAATTCTGTGCTACATCACCATCAGCTTAATAAAATCTGGAAAACATGAAGTCCATGCTTTTTTGCTATTAGTTTTAAGTCAGGCTGTAGGCAGTTGTAGATGCAGAAAAACAATTGTTCCATCTAGAACACTTCTGCTTTTATCCTGACCTGTGCAATAGAAGTGATTTACATGGATTGCCTAGGTCCCGATGCCTCTTCTATCCTTTTACAGGCTTACGAGCTTGTATATTTAATTAGTGCTATCAACCTTATAACAACCCTGTGGTTTGAAAGATCAATTGACATAAGTATTTGGAATAGCAAATTCAATTTAAAATGCTTTCATCATATTACAGTCTAGTAGCTTGTTACATTGATTAGCTTGTCCTTTTTTTTTGTCTTTAACATTGATCAGTCCTTAAAGACTTAGGGCTTATTGGGGATAACCCCTTTCTGTCTGTTACACAATGAATTTCAGTTGTGGGGTATAATATAATAATGTACCTATGTTAGACAGCATGTATTAAATAGAGGATTTTGTGTCACAATTTCATTCATTTATTACCTTAAAATGTTCTCATCCTATATATTGTACTTCTTCCAAATACTACTTAAAAGCAGGGCATCATCCCTGGCACTGTTTGCCTAAAACCCCACTGTGCCTGCGTAACAACCAAGTCCAAAGCCCCTGGAGTCTGAAAACCAATATTTTCCCCTACCAAGCCCACCATATAAATGGATAGGATAGGTGTATGTATGGGGGGTGAGGGAGGTGGTGGGGGGGGGGAGGAGGAGTTATATTTCTCAAGTTAAAAAAAAACCTCATAAAACAAAAAATCTTTTAAATGAAAAAAAGAATTATACAAAATTCTAATATTTTGCTCACGGAAATGAGTTGCCTGCAATAGATAACTAGAATGCTAATCCATCTGTCAAAAATACAACAGGTGATAAAAACAGCTTGATGTTAAGATCTGATTGAAAATGAATTTTGTTTTCATGCAGGCTGTGTCATTCACAGCCAGGGGAGGTGTGGCTAGGGCTGCATAAACAGAAACAAAAGTCATTTAACTCCTAAATGGCAGAGAATTGAGCAGTGAGACTGCAGGGGCATGATCTATACACAAAAAGTGCTTCATTAAGCTAAAGTTGTTTTAATGACTATAATGTCCCTTTAATGCACTGACAGGCTCATTGTGCAATGTGCATAAATTGAGATGGTTTTAAAAAATAAA